AGCTCTTGTGCGGATACTCCTCAGCAAAATGGGGCAGTTGAGCAAAAAGACTGCATCTTCTCGAAGTTGTTCATTCCATTATGTTTCAATCTAATATCCTGAAATGTTTTTAGAATAATGTATTTACTGTCATATATCTCATCAATAGAGTCCCCACAACATCTTATGGGCCCCGTTAGTCGTCTTGATGTCGTGTTTTCAAACAAATCGGTTCTTCTCTAGTTTAAATCCCCAAAATATTTGGGTGCACAGCCTTTTGTTCAGAACACTGCCCCAACATGTAGTAAACTTGATCCCCAATATATCAAATGCAACTTCTTCAAATATTCTAACACTCCAAAAGGCTATTGATGTCTTGATCCTATCACAAATAAATTCTATGCGAGTGTTGATGTTTCCTTCTTTAAAAGTATCCCTATTTCCTCAACACTGCCTCAACTGAGGGGGAGCTAGATTTTTTGGACATTATTCCTTTTCCGACTCTGATGGATATTCCACCTACTCCTTCAACCATTATTTCAGAGGAACTCGGTCCCAGTGGATCTGCCATCAATGAGAACAACATCTCATCCATCCCATCCCGTGTCTATACTCAACGCATCAAACCATCGATTGAGACTTGTCCCAATGCTCCTACTCTTGAGCCCACTGTCTCCTTGTAGATCTTGAAATCCGCTCTGGTCGACATCCTGCTCTGGTCGACATCCTTGGAACTACATTGTCAACTTGCAAGGATTACTCCCGCTCTAAATGAGGTGAGTGCAATCAGGTATACTCTCTTTATTCCATGACAAAAAATGTCTCATTCCACAGCTTATCGCCGACCTGTAAAACATTTGCCACTTCCTTGACGGATCATCGCCTTCCATCCACTATTGAGGCGGCTTTAGCATACCCTTCCTGGAAGGCTGAAGTAATGGATGAGATGAATGTCCTTCGGCAAAATCATACGTGGGATGTTGTTGATCTTCATCGGAGAAAGAAACCAGTGGAAAGCCGGTGGATTTCAGCACCAAAAAATCATCAACAAATCGCGGTTGGTCGCCAAAGGCTACTCACAAACCTATGGAGTTGATTATGAGGAGATGCTTGCTCTAGCTGCTAAGTTGGACAACATTTGTGTTTTGTTATCCCTTATCGTGAATCTGGATTGACCCTTAATCCTACTGGATGTCAAGAATATTTTTCTTAACGGCAATCTCACAAAGCAGAAGTATATCTCTCCCTCCGGAATTTGACTTTACTTCATCCCGTGGACAAGTGTGTTGACTGCGAAAGTCCCTCTATAGACTGAAGCAATCCACTCGGGCCTGGTTCAGCAAGTTCAAGTAGGTGATATTGGGTCATGGGTTCTGTCAAAGCCAAATCTGATCATACTCTCTTCTTTCGACATTCCTCCAGTGGCTATATTGTTATCCTCATTGTCTATATCAAAGATATTGTGGTCGTTGATAATGATCTGTCAATCTTGAAGTCTCATCGCCGCATCTTTTGAAATGAAGGGTAAGAGATCTCTCTGATATTTCTTAGGCATGGAAGTCGATTGATACTCTAGGGGCACTTGCCATTCCCAGCTCAAATATGTGATGGACCTACTAACCAAGATTAACCTTCTCCTTTGCAAACCGATTGTTGTTCCAATGGATCCCAATGAGAAATTGGCAGATATAGTGAACAAGACAAACTACAAATGTCTTGTGAGTAAACTCACTTATCTCGCCCATACGCCCCCTGATATTTGTCATGCTGTTGAAATTGTAAGTCAATTCACATGTATGATCCCTATGAAGACCATCCCACCGTTGTCCACCAGATCTTCTGCTACTTGAAAAGCACACCAGGCTCAGATTTATTGTTCTCTCGCCACATCTCTCACTGTATTACAGTTTATATGGATGTTGATTGGGTTGAATTCGTCCATGATCGGCGATCTATATTATGCTCCACAAGTTACATATGTCGGTGGTTGCTCGTAGCAATGCTGAAACAAAGTTTTGATCTATATCATTGGGAATATGTGAAGCTCTCTAGTTGTACATTATGTTCCGCAAGTTACGTATGTTGGTCTCCTCTACAGTTGTTCTGTGATAATAAAGTCGTCATTAGCATTGCTCATAATCCGGTTCAGCATGATCGCACCAAACATGTACAAATTGGTTGTCACTTCATCAAGGATAAGTTTAATTCCGAAGAGATTTGTGTTCTATTTGTCTCATCCAATGATCAACAAGCAGATATTCTCACAAATAATCTTCCTCAGCCGTTGTTTGACGACTTTTAACATAATTGACATCTATAATTTAACTTGAGGGGGTGCATTAGAATCGTTAGAATTTATTTATTTTCGAGTATTAGCATTTAGTTATTTCCTTCCTTGAGTTGCCTTTTTTGTGTATTTCTTATTCAATGTATTTCTGAATTTGTCTTTCCTAGTTTATGAGTCATGTGATATGTATGTAAACACATTTTTCCTATCAATGAAAATATACCGCTCTATTCCTAAATTCTACAATATTGCATTAAAACTATAGACTATATATCTTTTACTACTTTTAAGGCCCATATGCTCCAATAATTCGTAAGTTATTGTAACATTTATCTCATTTATCAACACCACCTAAAAAATAACACTTACTGTGAATTTCTTTTAAAGTATTTTCAAAATAAATACAAAAAGGTATACAATAAATTGATCATTGATGCAAATCCTATAATGTGCATACTTTCTAAATAGAAAATTAAAATTACTTTAATAACAACTACATTTTTCTCAGCCAATGCTCTAATGCCCTTGTCCTCTCTCTATCACTTTATAATGTGATTTTAGTCCATGTTTAAAATTGCGCAATTGGGTACTGCGACGCTTTTCATTCCTACGGCGAGGCATTAGCCTCAAAATTAGAAAATTGTGTAAATTAACAAATACTACATACACAATAAAGTGTGAAGTAAGAGATAATATATTAATATTCAAACTTATTAAAATTAAAAAGTATTATGACAACATTCTAACTAGGTAAAAAGTAGATAATTACGTAAAATTAAAAGTCAGACATCAATATCTTAACATCAAATTATGATCTGAGATGATTAATACTAATATTAAACTATCAAAGTAAGTTTAACGTTACTAATATTAAAGATAATATCGTAAAATTAAATACTAATATTAAACATAAAATAAAATACTATAATATCAAATCATAACAATTAAAATAAGTTTAACGTTAATCTTTCCCTCTCACTCATACTTAACCCCCACTTAAACAAGAATATAACAAATTATGAACATTTGAATAATTAATTTTAAAGTCCTTGTTACTCTTACCACTAAATTGATTTTCATCAGAATCATCGGCATAATGAATTGTTTATCTTGCATTTTAGTTTTAGCCGTATCTATATTCTCTCATTCCTTATTATCTTTAATTCCAATTATTTATATTTCGCAATGAATAATTATCAATAAAAACATTAATTAAAATAATTACTAAGTTGATAATTAGAAATAAAAAACCACACAAATTTTAATAAATATATTTTTATTTTATTTCTTATCACTTTGTGTGTAATGTGTGAATGTTAATAAATGAGGTAAATTAATATTCCTTTTAGTCTTATCTAAAAAAATTACATATAGCCTAAAAAATTTGAGGCGTTTCTTGAGGGGAGGTCTGTCTTGAGGCACGCCTCAGACTGAGTGAGGCACCTTGGGCCAGTGAGGTATAAGACACATTGCGATTTTTTGTAAAAAGCACTGAGGCAGTCCTCAAAGCGTGCCTCATCTTGCGCAATTTAAACAAAAATTTCAATTTGGTTCCCTTGTGCGAAAAGAAAGAAGAAGATATATTTACATACGTTAACACCCAATTCCTATGTACTAACATATCAACCCCACAAACTTCAATTTATATGTACAAACCACCGAACCTATGCCAAAAACATAAGAATTGAGTGGTTTACACATAAAAATTGAAGTTTGAGTGGTTGATATGTTAATACATAGGAATTGGGTGGTAGATATGTAAACACCCAAACTTAAAAATATCTATTTCCTTAATGATGGCATGCTATTTACTTTTAAGATTTCATCGAGAAAATATATATATATAACCAGACAACATGAACAGCTTGCATATCTCTCCAGATCTATATGCATCCTATCCAAGGATACAAACCTATAGGTTAGCTTTATGCATTTTTAAGATATTAAAAAGAAACTTAACCAATTCCACGTCTCCCATGGCTCTCCAAATACTAAGTATCTCATTAAAACCTACAGATCAATTTATGCATTTTCTTTCAAAGCCAATTCAAATGTCCATTTTCTAAATCAATCTACAATAAAATTCATCATTTTGCATTTTCTAATAAGGTATCTTCATTAAAACATCCATTTGTTAACTCAGATCATGTCACCTTCTGTAATAAAAATATAAATAAAATCCAAGTTAAACAAACTTAACTCCGTTTTCAAATCGTGACAAATTTACTTTTCTTTTTCTCCACTCATAGCATTCTATACAAATGACTCAAGTAAATAGTTTAGATTATGCTAATTATCTTCAGCGAATGTCACAACTTTCTTTTAATTATTAAAAATTGCCACACGCTTGAAAATGTATGTCTTATAATAACTTTTTTTTGTCCACACTAAACTATAAAAGTTAATGTGTAAAATCCACTTTTGATATCATGTAAAACTCCTTTGCAATTGATAATGTCCTAGAACTTCGATCATAAAATTGAGACAATATTCACTACATCTTAACAAATATGAGGATAAGACAGGTGAAAAAGTTGATAACCAGGATATGTGGTAAAAACGCCAACATGCAGTTCAAAAACTGGAATGGCCAATTAATAATATAGGAACCAACCATACGAAGACAAAAAACGTAAGGATCTGCCAAGAAGGTATGCTAATTTTCATGATAGCATGAGAAAAGAATAAAAAATATTGGGCAGTGCCCATCAACTGATAGACAATAACACAGCACCTTTACTTGACTGTGGTTTCTCTTCACAATCCTCGGGCTTTAAATCCATCTGGCGAATCATTCTGTTTCCACGGTCACAAATTAATAAGGAGCACATCTTATGCATGAAAAGTAGATCAAAATCTGCCGAGAAAGTCGCATTTTGAGCAGACCCGTCAGTATGACCTTCTTTCTGTGTGTAGCCACCAGCTATTGTGGTAGTCACACCTAGATGAGAGAAAAAATGTATTATGTAGCTATACAGAAATATGATAATTAGTAAACAGATTTTCTTCTAGCCAGAAAGATTAAAACCCAGAGAATATTAAAGGAAATTCCTGCAGATTTCTAATTAATCACGCCTGCAAAAACTAGAATTTCAAAGTAGCTATTAGTATCATAAAATCTCTCCTTTCTTTTTTCTTCATGTTTTTGGGATAAACTTAAACATGCATCCTAAAAAATTTTACACTAAATTATGCATAATCAACAAATAGTGCAGGACCAAGCATTATTCCTGTGCATGCAAGAAATCAGGGTAAATATGAACAATTGTCCACATACACAATCAGATAAATAAATAAAATGGGCTAGCGTAACTTCCAGTACTAGTTAGAGCAAGTCATAATGAGTTTCACATCTTTAAACCTAAAGATGCCAATACAAAGCACATGAAATTGAGACACTTCTAACATCACGAGTATGGGTGATGCAATAAGGTCTAATACCAGTACAGTCCTCATATGGGAGGCAATGATAGTTAAGACCTGAAAGCGGCAAATAGAGCAACCCTGAAAAGTTGGGGGCCGCTATAAATGGCAAGGACGGTCCTTTCAAAGATGGAAAGCATGACCCAGGGGTGGCATTTGAAGTAAGGCAAACAAGTTTGAAGGCCACTAATGATGGGTGCATTAATACTCCATTAGAGGTGAAAAAAAACTGCATTAAGATAGCCATAAGACAATGCAAAAAGGTCATGGAGGCCATGGGAGAGGGCCAAAATTACTCCCTTGTGGAGGTCACAGCTAAAAAATCCGAAGTTGTTTCCAGGGATAATGATGAAGGACACTGAAGAAGTCCCTCTGCTAATGCAAGGGGGATATTAAAGATTCAAGGTTGGCAAGCGACTAAATGACCCAAATTCAACAGGGCATGAGCGAAAGTTGGGGCAATCCCTCTCTTAAAAGGAGGATCTAGACAACTAGGTGCTGGCAGAAGACAAGAAGCAATCAGAACAATCTCTCTCCCAAAAAGACAGAGAACATACAACTGTGCCTCAATGGAAGACGTGAAATAGTCGAGACAATCCTTCTCTTAAGATAAAAGCTAAATGACTGGGAGTCGGCAATCCTCTAGAGACAATGGTCTTGTGTAGTTTGAAAGAACCGTAAGCTCCAAATTATGCAACCCCTAAACTTGAAAGTCATGGAGCTATGTATCAGAGATACAAAAACATGCACCTCAATATAGATGATCATTTGGTACCTTAAAGTAGGGATATAAATGAGCAAAACTTAAGCGGCTAGAACTTGTTTGTGTTCGGCTCATTTAAAATTTGGTGTGCTCATGTTTGACCCTAGTTTGCAATAGTTTGTGAACAATGCGTTCACTTTTAGCTCTTTATTATTTGAATCAAGCATGAGCCAAATTCAAACATACGAAAACAAATAAATAACAAACTGAAAGCAGCAACGTTTTTCTACCTATCCACAAACCAATTAGCAACGGTAAAAAAAGATTAAAAGATATCATCTAAATATATACACATTAATATATTTATTGAGTCAATAACAAATGGAACATGATCAATCGCATTTAAAATTGAAGTTAAAAGATATTTTAATGTCCAGTTCATTTACCTAATGAAAAAATCTAATATGAGTGATGCGGATCTATTCACATAGAATGAGCTTTTTTTGATACCCCTACCTCAAACTATATTTTTTTAAAAAGATGAACACATTTCATTAAAACTTGAAAAGTGATGTAATCAAAGGTCTCTTTATCAAACACAATCATTATTGTATTTATGGTTTGCCTAGTGGTGACATGCTCAAAGCATTGGCACCCTTATTCGTTATAACAGTTATGTTCGAGAATGAAGTTGCACTCCTAAACATATTGCACCTATTTGCCATGAAGTAAGGATAGTTTCTTCTGTAAAGATATATAGGAATTTCATTGTTTGAATGAAACATAAAATTTCAAGAGATAATATTGCCCAGAGTTACACTATGAAAAAAATTCCATGTTGGCATCAATTTTTGATGTCGTGAGTGTAGAATGTCCACTCGAATACTATGAAACATTGCTACATGCATGCATTGATTCCCGTAGTGCAAGACATTCATTTAAGGTCCTCTAGCGCGTGTTGAGAAGCATGTAGCGAGAGTCGTCCTGCTAGACTTAGGCTTTCGCTTAGGCAAAGGCTGGCAAGTATTTTTTTCTATCGAACTGCTTCAATCGGTCCAACAAATCTCGTTCGACGTCACATGCAAATCAGGCTCAAATTGGCTCAATCATCAATGAATTTGTCCATATGACCTCGGAAGGCGAAACAGTCGTGCAAGTGTGTTTGGAATATTCGTTTTGCATAAAGAGGACACTTATATTGCTATGGTTTCGTGCACAGGCAGATAACACGTCAATCGATGCACGACTTAAAAATTAAATAAAAAATAGTAATAGAATAATAAAAAAGGGATTAAAACCCCATTTTCTCAGTTGTCTACCCCCTCCCGATTCACGCAATCTAGGGCACGCTGACCCTGCTCCCTCTCATGACATCGTCAATCTCGCTCCCTTGCCAGCCTCCCTCAACACACCAACATCACCTCAAGCTGGCGAGCCCGTCGTCTATCGATCCTCCCTCACGGACAGAGCTAATGAGTTTGCCTTCTCTTGCGCACGCGACACCCTGCGCTCAAGCTCCTCTCCCGCCAGCAACCAAGTTCTGTTGGTGGTTCAGCTCATGATGCGGCCTCCTCCATCTATTCCTGCGACTGCACGATGCCTTAGCCGAGCTTCTCACGCCACTCCACGCATCGTCGGATTGCCCCTCGCCGGCATCGTCGTCCACCTCGCAGGTGACCTTGCTCTGTCTCCCTCGGCTGGCGAGCTCACCCCTCTCAAATTTCGGCGGACAGTAGCTCAAAACTCCCATCTTTCTTATCCTGATGTACGATTCCTACCCAGAGCCATGGAGGAAGATGGAAGAGGGTAAACAACGGAATCAACAACTGAAATCGGAAACTGAAAACCTTGCTAACCGCCTCTCAACGGCTGCACCCTTATCGGCCCGCTCTCTTCCCATTCAGCTGATGTCCTAGGTCGGCTTCCTCATGCTTGTACAGCTTGTCTCCCAGTATCATCGGCATGCCCTCATCGACTTTCTGCCTTCCACCCGGCGCTTCCCATTTTTGGAAAAATCCCTATGGCGATACCCGTGTTGACCGGCTCTCCCTCTGAATTTGTCATGAGCAACCTCATCATAAAGGTACGTGTCGGTTTACTTTGGTATATTGTGATATTCATTTCAGATACTTGTATACCTCACTCATGCCCTCTCTCGTTTCGTGCATGTCTCATAAGGTACACTAGCGTGTGGTTCGGATGTCAACTGCTCGAATAGGCAAAGGAAACGCGGCTACAACCATCGCGAAGGCATAGGCCCTTCGACTCAGTGCTTTTCCTTTTAGCTAGCCTCTAGGCACTGTGTTTGAGGAAACACCATAGGTTAGGAGCTTTTTGCATTCCCGTTATGAATCCATGAGTGAAACCTCCCCTAGAACCTTAACCCGATCGTTTGGGATACTAGCAACCTCGTGGTCGTTCAGTGGCTTCATCGCGTGACGAATAGGATGAAGCTACTCCGAACTAGAGAACAATGAATCACTTCAATCCTCATTCCCTAGAAGACGAAGGCTATTTCCATACGAGAAAGCCTTTAATTTTGTGAAGCTTTTCTCCTGCAAAAAAGCTCCTTCACTTTGACCGAAAGACTAGAGATAAGCCCTCCATTACGAGTAACGGACGATATCCACAACTTCGTTATTTCACTCTAGGCTTCTGGTGAGATCGTTAGGACGACTCTATTTCATTGTCGAACTCGATTGGGTCTTATTTCATGCATGTGTTTGCATTCATATGTCATTCATCGCATGAATTTTAAAATTGCAAAAACAAATGTCTCATTTTTGCGTGTTTCGTTGATCAACCATCCACGCTATGAGCTCAATTGGTTATCTTTTCATCGTTTCAATCAATCGGCCGCCACCGGCCCGATTGGCTTGATCGACTTTTGTCGTTTCCACCCATCGGTCGCCATCAGCCCAATCGACCCAACTGACCTTTTCGTCGATCCGACCTATCGGCAGCCCTCGGTCTGATCGGTTGGCCTCATTTTCTTTGTTGCTTCAATTGATCGGCCGCCACCAGCCCGATTGACTCATTCAAACATTTTTGATCGGTTTGTCCTATCATCTTTGTCGGTTCGATCAATCGGCCACCATAGGCTCGATTGTCCCGATCGACACTTTTCGTCAACTTGATCGATCGACCGCCATTAGTCTGATCACAACGATCGACCTTTTATGTTGACTCGATCAATTAGTCGTCACCGGCCCAATCGATTTGATCAATTTTTTTCATCGGTTTGATCAATCGGCCGTCGCCAGCCTGATCAGCTCCACCGACCACCTTCATCGACTTCATCAATCGTCCGCCTCCATCTTGATCGACTCGATCGAACACTTATGTCGGCTCGATCGACCACTTCTGTCGGCTCGATCACATCGATCGATTGATTTCATTTAAATGTTGCATTATTACATATCTGCTTCGTACTGCTTACATGAATACATTAACACCTTGCAACCTATCGTGCACTTGTGAGCACATGCCCCCACATGTTCATACTGTATATTTGTGCCCCACTAATACCTTGTGCACTTTGCTTTCCTAACATCCATATGTCATTGTGCATCATGTCACTTGTGTTTGCACTTACACTTTTCACTCTTGTATGTTTGTCTTGCATGACATCCTACATGATCATCGCTTGCATGTCTGAAATCTTCACTTGAGTCACTGTTTTCACACACTCATTCCCGACACTCATGTGTCTACTTCGATGACGGCCTGAGCATCAAGCTTGCCAGGTGTGTAATTCTCTCGAATGAGACTTACATCACCTCACCTCCTATGGCACCGCTTCGGACTAACATAGG